CATAGGTCCACTTTTGTCAAGCAGTTCTACAAAAATGAGAAAACTGGAGTGTTACTAAGCATTTTATAAAGGTGGGAAGTATGTTAATGTTCATAATCAATTAGCCAACATTGGTTTGGTTGGCTCAGAATAAGAAATTGGTAGACATATTCATTAAGTGGGAAAATCAACTACTTTAGAAGATGTCAAAGGGGGAAAAACACTTACTTTGTAATGGAAAAGTTAAAAGCAATCATTTACAAGACTTCTTTATGAATTAAATGTTCACACATTTAATGAACAAGTGTAGGCAAACTTGATTTTCTTTTTTTATCAGTTCCTCATGAAAGAACAGAATCTCAAGTGTGAATTGAAAGAGAATTTTCAAAACTTTGGGGACAAATTTGGCGTTTTTCTTTAGTAAGTAAATGTAAGAGACAGGAAGTAAAGTATTCACCAAAAACATCAGCTGCTCTTTTACCAATTAAATCTGTGTGTTTGGTTGATGTGTGTCCCTTATTTCACCTCTAGAAGATGCATGTAAATTGGTGTCTCTCTTTTGGATTCTACTTGCCCTTAACAGCAAGAACTGCTTAACTGGCCAGGCATGGTGGTTCACTCCTATAATCTCAGCACTTTGGGAGGCCAAGGCGGTTGAATCACTGGAGGTCAGGAGTTCAAGACCAGCCTGGCTAACATGGTGAAACACCATCTCCAGTAAAAATGCAAAAAAATAGCCAAGTGTTATGGCTTGTTTCTGTAAGCCCAGCTACACCAGAGGCTGAAGCAGGAGAATCGCTTGAACTCAGAGGCAGAGGTTGCAGTGAGCTGAGACTGCACCACTGCACTCCAGCCTGGGCGACAGACCAAGACTCCATCTCAAAAAAAGAACTGCTGAATCAATGGAATTAACTTGGTAAGAAGTAAAGGTGCTCACTTGGCTATTAAATAAGCAAAGGTTGTAACATAGAATAGAAATATTGGAGGTTGTTCAGAAACCAAAATTACTTCTCATTAAGGTTGTGCTTAAATTTATGTAGGAGATAGACTTCCAAAAATTGTATGCATAGTACACATTTTACTTACCTTTAACTGGCCCCCCCAAAAATATTGGCTCTTTAATGGAACCCCAGAGTAAATCTGAAGAGCAGAGTTCTATGCTGAGGAGAATTTTAAAGCCCTAATTTTTCTGTTTGCTAAATCTCCGCTCTGTTCAAGTTGTCTGAAAGCAAAGGCATATCCATGACATAATAATTTGATACATTATTTCCTGTTCCAAGGCCAGGTCTACAGGACACCAAGACAATAAACCAATCTAAAGAAAATCAGTCAAGCATATCTTTCATTAGCATGTAGATCATTCCCTAACACAAACAACAACAATAAAAAAACAACTGTCCGATTTGTTCACTTTCTAACAAATGGAGTTAAGTGATTATACTCAGTTCCATCGCTTTTAAGGAAGAAATTCAATCAAATCAATTTGGGGCATTGTACAAATTATTTAATAAATTGGGTGCAAGTTTTATTTCCCATTGGTGCTGGCATTGTGCTATCTCAGGATACTGAGTATCTTAAGGAAATGAATGCCTGAAGAACCAACCAAATCATCTCAGACCAGAGGCTGGCAATTATTTTCTATAATAATCCAGAGAGTAAGTATTTTAGGCTTTGTATGCTGTACAGTCTCTGTCACAACTACTAGACTCTTTCTTGTAGCAAAAGCAGTCTTAGACAATACTCAAATGATATACATGGCTGTGTTCCAATAAAACTTTATTTACAAATGGGGTGGCAGGCCTGATTTAGCACAGAGGCCATAGTTTGCAGACCCCTATTTTAGACTCTTGGAAAACTTTGCAATATCCTGTCATCCAAGAACATTTAGACTATGGCTTTTTAAGTATTCTAATCAAAGTGTGGAAAAGGATATACAAATTTAACATAACACTGATCACTCAAGATGTGCCTATGGGAGATTTTCAGGACAGAAGGTACTAACTTACCACTATCACTACTTATCAGGAAACTTGCTATCATTTTACCTATACTCTCTTCTTTAGTGATCACAAAAACCTTGGGGAGCAGTTATTATAATTCCCTCTTCCCAGATGTTTTAGAGTGTGAGAAGGAATAACTAAGTTGCACAGTCAGCATTCAAACCCAGACCTGTCTCCCTCCAAGGCTCCTGCTGTTTCCACTACACTGTTACTAGCTGGGGAGGGATGGTAATTCTTCACATCTACACCTGACCAGCAGACCAAGTCCAGAACCCAGGGAGGGAATCTACAGATGGAGTGACTGCATCCAATTGGCCCCTCGGGCAAATTTCAAATCCATTGGTTGAGGCTTAAAGATTTCCACTTCTCTGTGCCAGCAGTTCTGGGCTTTGTCGTGTTATTCTCTCATCTTAACCAAAAGCTCATGTTCACATTTAGTGCACAAACGAGGGTCATGGGCTAGGTAGGGAGGAGGCAACGTTCACAAAGCGAATGTTTTCTTAACCCTTTCCAGAACCCCATAGTACAGTCATTTCAGCTCATGCCTCTAGGATGTTTTCTGAAAAAAGAAAGTGCCCTTTCAGCACTCTTGGTGTCTGATTTCAAACCCTGCCCTTCCATCGGGTGTTTGTAAGTGGGCTGACAATGCTGCCCTGTTTTTACTGATTTTCCCACAGGGTTTAGTCAGCCAGGTGCCCTCTATACCACATACTTGGGTTCAGGTTAAGGGGATGGGTCCAGAGCTCAGGGCCTCTCCTACTTTCCATTAAGGCTTAAAGGACAATTCAGGATAACTTTGATTTGTGTTCATTTAAACATGTGGAAATATTCACCCCAGTTATTCCACTGATGAGCTTACAATGTGGTCTCCCTTACGATGGAGTTTTGCTGGACTTGACTGGTCTCCAGGGTGTGAGCAGGAAGCATGCCCTCCAGCATCCCCTTTCAAAAACCTAGGGCTGGGCGCAGTGATGCACACATGTAATCCCAGCACTTTGGGAGGTAGAAGCAGGTGTATCACTTGAGTCCAGGAGTTTGAGATCAGCCTGGACAACATAGCAAAACACTATCTCTATTAAAAATACAAAAAAAAAAAAATTAGCTGGGTGTGGTGGCGGGCACCTGTAGTCCTAGCTACTTGGGAGGCTGTGGTGAAAGAATCACTTGAACCTGGGAGGCAGAGGTCACAGTGAGCCGAGATCATGCCACTGCACTCCAGCCTCAGCAACAGAGCAAGATTCTGTCTCAAAAAAAAAAGTCTGTTCATCTCTTAGAAGTAATTAGAAATGAAAAAATTTAGTACAGAACCAAGAAGGAAAAATATGGCAGATTGTATATGCAGGGAAGCAGCTCACATCTCAGAGGCTGACACAGACAGAGCATGAGGTGCCACTGAATGTGACTTCAGTGGCACCTCACTTACTACGGGTAGCTCCTCAGAATGGGTATGATTTTTACCCCCACTTTACATATGAAAAACCTAAGGACTGAGAAAAAGGAAAGTGAATTGCTTATAGAAGGTCGGCGCCAAGGCAAAACTCCCTCCAGGGGCTCACACAAAAATCGAATGATTCAGCCCTAAGTCAAAGGGCACACAGATGCTTAGAAGCCCCCAGTAAAGAGATGAATGCCCACCTGCTCTCATCCAAGAGCACTCACAACAGGGTCAGCTGCCTTGTCCCCAGAAGGATAGGCTGTCGCTGCTCCATCGCTTGCTGGTAGGAGTTGCATGCCAACCATTCTCGAATATTCCTAGTTATCTTGGGAGGAGTCCATAACTCTCAAACCCAAATTAAAGTTCATTTCTCTTTATTTTTTAAAAAATGCATCTTACTGGTATCAAATAATGGTGGGTCTTCACAATCTGGGAGATTTTGAAATCCCTCTTCTGTATTACTTGTTAACCAGCTTAAATCCAGAGAATTTACATAAGGTATAAACCAAACAACAAATTGGTGATAAGGTGACAGTGTCACATTTTAAACAGTGAAGTTATATTTTCAGAACTTTAATGGATCCAGTCAAGTGTCTTTCCATAAAAAGAAACACTTCCTAATTTTTCTTTTTCTGTAGATCTAGATTCTTTTATATTAAGCTTGCTTGATGCAGAGCATACTTAAATTACTTAAAAGGCATTTTAAGAAACTAAGAATCTTTAAGAAAAAGATAGAGCAATTTTTGGTCATTCTTCTTACTTGAGGAAGTATAGAACTAAGCCCCAATAAGGTTCAACTCTCAGAGGCTAATGAGTTGACTTTGTTTACCTCGTGAAAAGAATGTTGTAAATAATCTGTATTATTTCAGTTATGAGTAAAGCAAGTTGCTTTTTGGTCCACATAAAGGAAAATAAAGTTCACAGTTGTCCCGTCCAACTCCAGGGAGAAAAATGAAGGCCAAAGATAAACCCACTGCTCCCTTTGCAGTGGGATAGACAGGACTTGCCACAGAAGGGGCAAAAGAATGACAAAAGGCAAGACAGTGGAGCGAGTGAGGACACGCTTCGCCAAGCCAGGTCTCCACTCCTTCCAGGGTATCCACACGAACACGTCATGCCCTGGCAGAAAGCCAAGTCACTCAGCTAGAAAAAGGCCCAGGGAATTCAACAGCAGGCTGAAGAGCTGCTGCTTCTGGAAATAAAGCCCCTCCTATAAAGAACTGCATGGCTTTTCCTCCCAGCCCCCAAGCCCATCCTACATCTGGCTTTTGTTGTGTGAATCATAAACTGCCCTTTCTTCACCACAGTGATTCATGCACAGGAGCGAGGTACCCCGACCCGTCCCACCTTGGAACACTTCTAGTTCGTTCCCCTCCAGCCTGGAAAATCAGCATCACCTCTGACAGGCTGGTTTCTCCACCAGGCTCCATCCCGCCCACCTCCCCACATCTCACTCCCAAGCTTGGAACCCAGACCCGGTGGCCCCATCACCTCCACCACCAGCTCCCCAATTCCAGGCCAATCTGTGATTGCCCGGCCCCCACTGGCCCTCGCTTGGCTCTGACAGCCACCGCCAAACCACTTACGTTTTTGCCAGAGCATGGCCTGTGACAGGATGTTGCCTTTTCGCTTTGAAGCCGACAGTTTGGCTTCTTTAATGTGAGACTCGGGTGTGCTTTCCTCCAGTGGAGCCACCGCTTGTGCTGAGGCTGTTTCCTGGGCTTTTTAAAGGCCTGGGTTCCCGCTGCGTGGGGCGCGTCATCACGCCCTCCCACCTCAGACACGGGTGCAACGTTTCTGCAGCCAGGCCGCCGGTCACCCCACTGTGTGCGCCCCAGCGGCCCCAACCCAGAGTGCTCCACACCCGGAGCCAGCCAGCTGGGACAGAGCAACAGCGCAGTGCAGGCGGCCACAGCCTGCCCTGGCCCCACGGGGACCTGCTGGGTGTGGGTGTGAAGGTGGTGTGGGGCAAGCTGTGGGGACCCCATGTCTAGCCCTCCCCAGTCCAGTGATGAGCCCAAAAACCCCTCTGGAAAACGTTGGGCTTTGCATAGTGCGTGCAGGGCATGGGGTAGGACTCAGCCCGCCATGGGTGCCTGCTCTTCGGGAAATGCGATTCCCAGGGGTCACTGGTTCTCAACACGGAGGAAACACCTGTCATCTCATCTCTTCAAGCCTCAGTAAACAACCTTCTCATTCTTTTAATATTGCTTTTCTGTTTATTCCATTTTGAAACACAATAGCCCCTCCCCTCGCCCCCAGCCATCCCCAAAATGGCAAGGCTTAATCATGCTGAAATATGGGGGCGCTCGTTTTGATGGCAGCTATGCTCACGAAGAAAGAGGCCAACCCTCTCAGGGAAGAAAGGAGAACGTGCCCGTGCTTTTTGACTGGAGCTGGGCTTGTAGGCACAGGATGAACAGGGCCTCTCTGGGAGTGCCCACCCACTGATAACAGGAAGTTTCTTGAAGTAAAAGTCATGAGTTCACCACCTGGAAGTGTAGAGGGTATTGGCAACCAGCTCCTTCCCAGTTTGGAAATCTTCTGCCACTGCATATCTGAGGTCCACATGCTCAGGCTCCAGGGACTCAGCCAGTTTGGGGTCAAGACGCCTTGAACACTGCCCCTAGAGCAGGTGTGGGGCCTTGCTGCTCTGCAGTCCATAGTGCCTCAGAGCCATCTTGCACCACCTAGACCTGATCATGCTATCCTCCAGCCTACAAAGCATTCACCTTCATTCAGCCACAGAGCTGGAGGTCTAGAAGGCCTCCCACTATTGAGCCCTTGCCTTCCTTTCCAGCCTTACCACCCATAACCCTCCAACCACTGGTCCCAGTGCCCTCTAAGCACCACCGAATACCCGTGCAATTCCCTCCTTTGACTTTGCCATCCTCTCTTGCTGGGACAAACCCCTTAGCCCAGAAAATATTTGTCGCTCTTTTCAGCTCTTAGAGCACTTTATCAATTCATTACATGATGGTGAATTGTCACATCATGTAAGTTTCTCAAGGAGAAACTTCATCTGATGAAGTTATGAATTAATGTCTCTAATGGGTTGTTGATTTGAGGCCAAGTCTTGAAGAGAACTGATGTCCACATTTCATAAATGACTCACTCAAATGCCAGGGAGGCTGTCTCCTGGCTGGGAATAAGCCCTCCCCACAAAGCCTCTGCAGTTCGGGACAGTGGAGGCCCCCATGCTGCAGCAGCTGACAGCCTGCACCTTGGCCTGGCAGGGGGCAGCATGGCAAGGCCTTGGACTGCACTGAGGAGTTTTCATGAGAAACAGAGGCACATCCCTCAAGCCTGGCTCAATCACAGGAGACGTGGGTTCCCATGAAGGCTCTGACACTCACTTGCTGTGTCCCCTTCAACAAGTCACATAACTCTTCTAGCCTCAGTTTCCTCATTTATAAAATGAAGAACCAGTTCTGTGAATGTCTCACAGGTTCTTAGGAGGCTATGACCTCACTGGTCCTCTCTCCCATAGGTTGTCTTTTGTCTATTTTGATTATGTCTCATTCTCTCCAAGCCCGTGAAATTGAGAACTTTTTCTTATTCATCTCAGTGTCTCCCCACAGGCCTACCATGATCATTTCCACAAAGTAATAATAATAACCACTCACTGTGCAAGAGGCTCCTTATTAAGCCTTAAATACATGAACTAATCTAGTCACCACAAAAACTCTGTAAGAAAACTTCTATCTGTATTGTTCAGAGCAATAAACAAATGCTTAGGGAATGTCATTTGCCCAATGTCACCAGGCTATCAGATTATAGGGTGGTGTCAGACCCAAGTTCATCTGACTAGAGCCAGAGCTCTAAATAATTAAACTAAAAGGTATTCATTAGGTAGAAAACAGTAAAAGCCAAGTGTCAGCTATGTTTGTTAGTAGTAATATAGGATCACTATTATTCAAACTAAAGCAGATCAACAGAAGCTATATCCCCTGGGATAAATTTCTGTCCTTTGGAAAGAGGGAAGGAAAAGGTGAAACCCAGAGATACTCTGACAAATCAGACCTTGTACAGTGGCAGAAAAAAAAACGTCAGTAGGCAAGCCCACCATCAGGGCCAGCAATAAAGCCCACCACCTCTTACAGCCTCAAAGCTCATGGGCAGATTCCAGCTCATTTCTTCCAGCAAATACCCTGCATATCAGTGACCACATATAAGCAGGTGCTTTGGAATCAAGACTTCATCAAAACAGCACATATTTTCCAGGAAAATATTTTCTGTGACTTAGAATCAAAAGTCAAACTTCATGGCATAGTTCAAAAGAGGCGACTATGTTTATGCAATGTCTCAAGAAGTGGAAGAAAAGAAAAAAAAAAAAATCTGTGAATGTGGTCCAGATGTCTCCAAATACAGGCGTGCTCCCATTTTTAAAGAATTTGATATACCAAGATCAAGACTTCTAAAATAATTTCTTAAAGAGCACTGATGTGTATTGTAAAAGAAATTTTAGCTTTGCAAAAAGATTCACCATCGACTTCATTTCTTCCATCATTTAATAGATAGTTAGAGTGTTTATTATATGCCATTACCTCTGCCAAGTCTTAATCTTTTCATTTGGCCTTTAATCATCTTCATTCATGACGCTGCGTCATTTCTGATTTATGAAGAGCCCCTATCTTATTCACTCATTCATTCATTTTCTCGGTAATCGATTTATTCTTTCTTCTACTTTCCCCCTCCTTTTCCAGGTCTATTCTTTTTCCTGTCCCCTCACACCCTCATCACCCACCCACCATTCCAATCAGGGCAACTCTTTTCAGTGGTTGATGTTGAGCCTTTTATTTGTAGACATTCATACCTGTTCTTATAAGATAGGTTTTGTTTGGCATGTATAGATGTTTAATTCATATAGATGATGTTATGTTATACATTTCAGACTGTTTCTTATTGTTTTAATTCAGCACAGTGTTGTAAGAGCTATCCACATTGGTGTAGACATTCTGTGTCACACTTCTAACACCTGCAACGTATTCCATGGTGTGCAAGCACTGCATTTCACCTAAGCAGATTGTCTCCAACTCCCTCTTCCACAAACAAAGCATCGATGAACATTCTTATGTGCATCTTTTTTCAAAGGCATATGAAAATTTCCTGGAAGTTATATGCCCAGAGGTGGAATTACTGGGTCAAATAATAGGTATATATTTAATTGAACTAAATACAAACAAACTGCTGTCCAAGACTTCCACCAGCAGTTCATTCTTCCCCAGCTTCTCATGTTTCTGCTTTACCACCAAACCTGGCATCATCCAAGGTCTAAATGTTGCTAGTGTAGTAGATGTAGTGATAGCAACAGTGCAGTGGTTTATTTCAGTGTAGTAGTGTAGTGATAGTGTGGTGGTTTGTTTTACATTACTAATACTAATGCATGTAAGCATGTCTTCATATGCATGTTAACCCTATGGAGTTTCTCTTCTCCAAAATGCCTGTTCAATCACTTCTAGGCCTTTTGGCTAAGGTCAAGTGTAGTATCCGTTCTTGCCAGTTTAAAATGTGTGTTCATTCCTTTGCCAATTTCTCTACCGGGGTTGCCCTTTTCTTGTTGATCAGTAGTTCTTTGTACATCTGTATTCTTGATGTACAATTCTAGATATTTTCAGTTTTGCTCAACACAAATTTCTTCACTCTTGTCATCTGCTAACTTTATTCTTAGTGTGCTTTTTGAATAGAAATACATACTTTATGTACATAAACCTATTTTATTTTATTGGTCTCATTGTTCTTGTACTTTACAGTTTTCATTGTTATTTGTTATAGTACAGCTTAAAAGTTTCATATAGGTTTATCAAGTTCCTCAAAACATACCCAGGCACAGTGGCTCATGCCTGTAATCCCAGTACTTTGGGATGCTGAGGCAGATGGATGGATCACCTGAAGTCAGGCGTTTGAGACCAGCCTGGCCAACATTGTGAAACCCTGTCTCCACTAAAAATACAAAAATCAGCTAGGCGTAATGGTAGGCACCTCTAATCCCAGCTACTCAGGAGGCTGATGCAAGAGAATAGCTTGAACCCAGGAGATGGAGGTTGCAGTGAGCTGAGATCACACCACTGCACTCCAGCCTGGGCGACACAGAAAGACTCTGCCAAAAAAAAAAAAAAAAAAAAAAAAAAAAACCTAAAATTTTGATTCGTTTTCAGTGAATTTATAGATTACTTTGGGAAAGATTGATATCATTATAAAATTAATTTAGTCCAGCTAAGCATGGGACAACCCTCAATCTCCTCAGATCATATTCCATGTTTTTTATTATTTGAGTTTTCAGATTTTCTCCACAGAAGCATAGTATATTCTTAAATAAGCTAATTCTCAATTATGTTATAGTTTCTGTTGATATTGTGAATGGCATCTTGTTTTTTATATAATTTTCTAGTTGGTTATTGATGCTATAGAAAAATTCTAATATTTGAGAGTTTATCTTATTTCTAGAAACCTTGCTGGATTATTGTATTTATTCTAATAGTTTGCTGGTTATCATAGTCTTTCTAGGTAGAAGGTGATCTCTTCTGAAAGTAATGAAGTTTTACTTTTTCCCTTCCAATTCTTCCATCTCTTATTTCTTTCCTTTCCTGCAGTGTTGGCCAGTACTATGACAAGTAGCAATGGTAGTAATGGTCCTTCTTGCCTTGACCTTGTCTTACAGAAATGACAAATTCCTAAAATTTTTTTTAAGATAAAAAATCTTTGATTGAAACAGCTCATGGGCAGCAATGGAGTTAAGGTAAAACAAACACTTGGATACATTATAATGAAATTTTAAAACAATTAATACAAAAAGGACATTCTAAAAGCTTATTGAGAAAAAGAACATATCCATAGCTAAGGAATAAGAATCAAAATGACAGTATACTTCTCCACAGCAAAACTAGATGCAAGCACATAATGAAGAAATACTTTTAAAAGTACTTAAGAAAACAAACACTAACCTATAATTTTAAATCTAGCCAAATTGTCATTTTAATACTGTAAAATAACAAAGACATCTTCAGACCTTCAAGACTCCCATTAAAATTGCTCTTGGTGAAAACATTCAAATGAAAAGAGTGACCCAGGAGGATGTTGCAAGACATATGAGAGCAAAAGGTCATCAAAAACTGGGTAAAGTTTATTATACGAGTTCTCTTAAAGCTAGAAAAAAGAGAAAATTCATACATAACAACACAGAACAAAATATCTTTAAAATAACATGATTAGACAAGTCCAGAGAACACCACTTATATTACACTACATTGTATTTAATTTTGCAAAATGTGGTCCTTGAAGAGATCAAAGAGAAATCGAAATGCACTAATGCTTTTGTTTTCTTAGGAGAAAATACAGCTATCAATACATTTTAAAAAATCAATAGGGACAAATAAACATAAAAGTAGATCTGAAGTAAGAGGTAACCGTCATTTTGATCTTATTTAAAAAACATATTTTTATAATATTTTATAAAATATATATAATGTAAATAACATTATCAAAACAAAAGTGTTTTATAATAACATTATAACAAAACAAAAAAGTTAAACTTCTAAACATTCCGAATGTTTAACTTTTTTATAAATGACATTTAAACATTCTGTTTAACATTTAATGTTTAAAAGTTTAATTTCTAAATTTTAAACATTTAACTTCTGAGCATTCTGAAAGAAACTGGATCTTTCTATGAAAAACAGGAAGAATATATTTAAAAATTACAATGCATGGAAAACAGGAATAAGTTGGCAGGATAGGTCCTACTAGCACAGTAATTATAATGAATTTAAGAATATTAAACCCACCAACTAAAAGACAGATTTCTGAATTTAATTTAAATTATTTTAAAGATCCAATCATGTAATCTTGATTCTAAAGCTAAATAAGGTTAATATAAGAAAAGAACATTATAGGTCATCTAATTTGTGAACATCAATTCAAAAATCCTAAACAAAATATTAGCTTGCTGAATTCAATAGTATATTAAGGACTAATACAACATGACATAATAATATAGGTAAGATTTATCCCAGGAATGCCAGGATGGTTTATTCTTAGAAAACCTATCAATGTAATTCCCCACATTGAAAAACTTTAGGAGAAAAATTATTAAATTAGTCAATCAAACCTAAACATTTGATAAAGTCCAATATCTATTTTTAATGTAAGAAAAATAACTCTTAGAAACTTAGGACTAGAAGGAAATTTCCTTAACTTGATAAAGTTTATATGCCAGAAATCTACAGTGATGGTATACATAAAAGAGAAATTGTAAACAAATTCCCTTTAAAAACAAGTTGCTGGGCCGGGCACTGTGGCTCACGCCTGTAATCCCAGCACTTTGGGAGGCCAAGGCAAGTGGATCACGAGGTCAAGAGATTGAGACCATCCTGGTCAACATGGTGAAACCCTGTCTCTACTAAAAATACAAAAAAATTAGCTGGGCATGGTGATGCGTGCCTGTAATCCCAGCTACTCAGGAGGCCGAGGCAGGAGAATTGCCTGAACCCAGGAGGCCGAGGTTGGAGCCGAGATCACGCCATTGCACTCCAGCCTGGGTAACAAGAGCGAAACTCCGTCTCAAAAAAAAAAAAAAAAAAAAAAACAAGTTGCTGTCCAGGTATGGCAGCCAAGGTGGGAGGAACTCTTGAGCTCAAAAGTTCAAGACCAGCCTAGGCAACATAGATCTCATTTCCACAACAAATTTTAAAAATTAGCCAGGTGTGGTGGCATGTGCCTATAGTCCCAGCTACTTGAAGGTGGAGATTGAAGGATTGCTGGAGCCCAGTAGGTCAAGGTAAGCTGTGATCGTGCCACCCACATTCCAGCCCTGAGCAACAAAGAACAAGCTGTCCCATTGCACTTCCGTGATTAATTTCCAAACAGTTTTTACACACATAATGTTTTGTATCTATAGTGCAAAAAATAAAACATATAAAATATACTATGTAATTGTGCCAAGTTCTATTTCAGGCTTTAAGGCTTTATGTTTTTTCAGCAGTGAAAAAAGATAAATTTTTAGCATCATATATCTAGATATCTGGTGTTGGGTAGAAAGAAAATTCATATGACCTTGCAATAAATGATCTGTCGTCAACTCAGACATGGACTCGTGCAGAGAAAAATTGACAACCTAAGAGGCTCAACCACCTCAAACCTATGAAGATTTTTCTATAGCCCAGAAATTCAGGGCAGTTTGTAAATTCAGACCTATAGAGGATTCCTTAACCTTGGAGATGGGAGTAGAATGGAGGACCAGGTTGATTTTAAAGGGGAGGGGCAAGAATCCTGTGTGCATATTTTCCTTGGAAGACAGTTCAGAGAATTCATGAGAGCCTCAAGGTTAAAAACCACTGTTTATTATAGAGAAATACTGTGATATCAGATTTTTAAATATATAAAAGATAAGTTGATGTAGGTCCAGCTAGCACAGTAATGGGCTCCAAGGTAGAATGAGTAATCCACAGGTAACATATCGAAGTCCATTGCCACCTTCAGGCAATTTCCCACATATTCTTTACATACTGAGTCAGCTAAACCCATTTCTCATTTCTCTGGCAAATGTATCTAATTTCATTCTTATGTATAATTTTCCTTAATTATGAGGGAGGCAGCAGGATATAGTGAAGGGATTATTTAATTTAGAGTCAGAAAGCCTGGTTTGGAATCTGGCTGCAGTGCTGGCAGTGTGGGCTTGGTCAAGTTGTTCAAATTCTCCTAGTTTTAATTTCCTCCTCTTCCAAGTTGAAATAATAATAATAATAACTGTTGCGTTGATAGCCTAGCATAGAGTTTTCTACATACACTAATTGTATTGTACTATTCAGATCAAGAGAATATATCACCAAATTCCCTTTCATATCTTTGTTCTCAAAATTCACACACACTAGGGAGCCCCTTCAAACTTTACCAATTTCTAGTTTTCCAAGAAAAGATCGGGTCCTTCTACCTTATCCAAAGAAGCGATAAGATTCAAACATCTCATCTTCTCAAGTTCCCAGGCATCATCTGCAAATATGGCTGACAGCTGGATGGCAGGTTCTTAGCTAGGAATAGGCCTCATCATTGGAATTTATAGTTTTATTTTGCCTTCAATAATTAGACATTATGACTAGGCACAATGAAAAGGAAATCATATTCATCTGATCAAATAGAGATTGCATCAACCCAAGTGGCGCCTGGATGAGTGCCAGTGTTCAGAAGCCAGGGCTTTATTGTGTGTGACAGCCTGGAAGGCTGGAAGGTGCCCAACTCTTTTTATGGCCATTCCTGAACTCCCTGTGGTACTAGACAGATGGTCTCTAGCCACTCTGACAATCTTGCATTAATACAGGCAGCTGGAAAGTGTCCATCATTTTGCAGATGAGAAAACCAAGGACAGGTGGCTTTAATTATTATCTATGGCCTGAGACTGCCATAAATGACCTTGGAATATAGTCAAGAAAGCCTAATAATTATTACTTTCGGTGCTATTATGCCATGGAGTTTGTGGGGGGGGAATAATCTTTGCCAAAAGAAAATGTTTCTGGGCTATTCTACTCACCATGTGGTCTCTCCAAGGCAGAGAGTTTTTTCGTTTGTTTGTTTATTTGTTTGTTTTCTTACCATTACTTAGCACCACACACTGAACAAGGGGCTTTATTTAACAGTTTTGCCTCCA